GATCAAACACAAGTTGCAACTCAACATGCTAAATTAAGAAAATCAATTTTAATAAAACATAAGAAAGCCATATAACAAAAGAATGTTAATGATTAATATTTCAAATGACTTTTTTCACGCCAATAAACAATAAAAACTCGTCGAGGTTTTTTGTTTTGTGTTGTTTTAAATTAACGTTCGGCAGATCAGGTAATAACTTGACATCTGGAAAGTAAGATTCTTTAGGTAATTTCATACCGGATACTGTTGGAATGCATCTCTTTTCAGCCATGATTTTTTTTATTGCTTCGAGGTCAGACTTTGACAAGTTTTTAAATTGATGCGAAATGATTTTCAAAATTTTTTCTGCAAAATCAGGTTTTGTAAAAATATACTGAGTCCACGTCAAGATGGTAAGCTCAGTCCAATTTCTAAGATATTATACAAAGTTAACATCCTGATATAATGTGATGGATATCATGAGCTAATGAAAACACTAACCCAAAATGAGCCTCCAAGTCTTCTTTTCGTAATGGTTTACTAATAGAGTAAGGTAAAACATCTGGTGGAACTTCAATAGTTGGTGGAATAACATGTGGGTTTAGGAAGTAGCGAATATGATTAAGAGGTGTAAGATCGTCTCCTATAGAAACGAGGCACATAAATTTACGAAATTGTTCATCAGTTATATAATTTTTGGAACGGTACCCTATCCACCACTTGAACAAATCTGATAATTCTTCGTCATTTAATCGACGTCTTTCTAGTTCCTCAAACACATCATCAATATAATGCCAGTCAATTGACGATCCATTGGAATTCATTATGAATCATTTCAAGCATATTCGGTCTCAATGGGACCATAGGAATTGTTTTGATAAATGAAACCACCTCTTTATTTGGAACCCGCACGGAATTAATTGGCAGAACACCATGAGTAGATAAAATTTGTAGCGATTTTTTTGTGCAGTCAAAAAATTGAGATTCAATGATCTTTGCAACCATATTATTAGGCGTGCTTGTTTTGAATGTAAAGTGTTGTAAAATGTGTACAGAGCATTCCTGTAAATATTCAAAACTTTTTTTATCTTGTTTATCATCAGAGTTTAATAATTCTGGGTCAATATCCATACATAGCCTTGAAATTTGATTCATTTCATCATCATACACTATACGAGCCAAAATTCCGGCTGAACATAACATCTCCTTATTATACACTGATAAAGTCTTATGTACTAAATCTATTGATTCACGTTCAACCTATAAAACTCAGTGTTTTCAATATAAATCATGAAGAATAAAGAATAAAGAATATAAGCAATTGATAATTGAACATAATATTTTACTCACTGTGGGAATCACTCGAGCTGCCAAGTGCACAGAACAACCTGTGGTTTGATGGGTTGGAAATCCAATGAATATTCTACCTTGATCAGGAAATGGTGTTAGGTCTTTAAAAACATTTAATATTTTTTTATTAGAATTTCCTGGCAAATTGCGTTCATCGTGCCCAGTAAAAATCATTTGTATTGTTGTGTTATTTGTTTTCAATTTGTGAAGAGCCATTGTAAATAATTAAAGTTTATTATAAAGTTTGATGTTATTCCGTTCAATTAATCCAATTTTTGACCGCGTGGTACCTTTTCTTTTATTAGCATTTCGTCAGGTACACAAGGTATGGCCTTTTATTGGCGCAATGATCAGTTATTTTCTAGAATGGGTGATATAAAACAAGATGACATGATTTGGACAACTTTTCTAATGGATACACGAAGAAAAGAAAATGTACCTAATTATTTTATATTTTTAACCTTATCATTATCATTATCATCGTTATCATTATCCAGTAA